TGGTGGCCCCCGGAGTATTTCCTGAGGGTCACAGGGGGTTACGGGGCCCCCAGCCTTGAGGGGGCTGCTCCAAACCTGCTCTCCCTCCAAAAAGCAGGCAGGGGTTTGCTGGTTGCAGGCACCCCGGAGCACTCAGAGCCCCTCTCTGCCCTGGCCGCCCTTGCCCTGGTAGCCCCAGCGCATGGGGGCTTGTGGCAGAGCCTCTGCAAATGGGGTTTGCCCTCAGCCTGGGCTCCGCCTGGCATGTTTTCTTCCTGCGCCCAGATAACTCCAATTTGTGGCTCTGCGTGCAGGAGATAATTTGAATACACCTCTGTGGTGTGTGGGAGGAGATCCCTGCGCTGGTCTTTGTTGCCTTTTAGAAACACATAAGGAGGGAGGAAGGCTGTGTTTTTTTCTAAATGCAAAACTGCTAGAAAAGCTCATTCCTTTTTGGAAACCAGGCAGCGCTGGGGTCTGCCCGCCAGAGACCTGTGTGGTGGAAGACACCACTGCCATGCTGGAGGCCCCTGGAGAGTCTGTGGGCATAGCAGAGCACGATGCCTTTCCTGCACGGCTTCCGCAGGATCATCTTCGAGTATCAGCCCCTGGTAGACGAGATCTTGGGGTTGCTGGCGATACAGGATGCGGAAAGGCAGAGCGCCCTTGAGAGGTAACTAGATGGGGCTAAACACCCACTTGATGTTTTAGGGGGTGATAGCTGGAGCTCAGTGTCGTGGCCGAGGTCAGACACAGCACTGTCTGGGAACAAATCCCAGTCCCGGTGAGCAGCTCATCCCACGGACCCTCCTCTTGCTGCTGGGACGTGGGGGTGGAGCAGAGCAAACACAGGGACTACGTGTGCTCCCCGGGACCAGCCCTTTCTGCCTGACCCATGGCAATAAAACTTAAACGGGGGTCAGCTCTGTCCCTGATGCTGCTACGTAACCCCACAGCCAACAGGTTGGAGACCCGTTGGTTACAAGAGAGGGGACCAGGGATTTTTCTTCTTCCCTGGTGCTACTTTGACCCGTGCACACCCCTGAGATGTGTGCCCCTCAGCTGAGTAACTGGTTGTTTTTGTGTGTCTTAAGCCCTGCCTGTCTGGGGAGCGACAGGAGCCAGCTCTCAGCTGTGAGACGAGTCTTGGAAAGGGAGACCCACTCCCCGTTTTATCAGGAAGGCGTGAGCTATGCCCTGCTGAAGGTCACTGAGCTGGGGCTCGTCCCTGCCGCAGAAATCCTCCTGGAGTTCGGAGCTGATCTCAGCTTTGAAGGTGAGGCTGGTGAGGAGGGGGCTGGGCCTGGGTCTGTTCCTCGGGCTGTCCAGGAGAAACCAGCTGGTGAGAAGCTGCCCTGGGAGGCGGTGATAGCTGGGTAGAAAGAGGGGGTGCTGCCAGCTCAGACCCCCACTCTGCTGGGATAGCGTGGGTGTGCTTTGTGGCAGCTTTTGTCCAGACCCAGCCGTAGGGATGGACTGGGGGATGGACTGGGGGATGGCTGGGGGCTTGGGGGCCAGTTTGAACCTCTGAGGACTTTTGCCAGAGATGGAGTCATTGCAAAAGCAGGACCTGGGGTGTCTGTGACAGCCCTGTTTTCACAGGCATCGCTGTGTTCTCAGGGCCCTCCCGAGCTGCCCCCTTCCACTTCTGGCAGGTGCCAGGGCCGCTCTGGGGAAGCCCTTAGTTCTCTCTGACTATGTTTTTGTCCTCAGATCCAGTCACCTACTACACCCCCCTGCACATCGCAGTGCTCCGCAACCAGCCGGATATGGTGGAGCTCCTGGTGCGCCACGGGGCTGACATCAACCGCAGAGACCGGGTACGGGCTTAGTTGCCTGGGCACGGCCAAGCTGAGCCCCCATGAGACTTAGCTGCAAGGGACTGGCGTGTGGGGACAGCCCTCCCTGCTCCCCACCTCCCGGGCTTCATGCCGCTTCCCCTTGGCGACCTCCTGTGTCCGTGGTCCGTAGTGCTCCGACGCTGTGGCAGAAATTCAGGTTGCCTTTGGCCGAGCAACCCCGCCTCTGCCGTGGAGCGATGGGTGGGAGGAGACTGGGGTAGACAAACCTCTCCCTGTGGACACAGCAGGGAAGGTTCACTTTGATTTTTGGGCATGGGTTGAACTATGCTCTTATGTTAGCCACAGCCCCAGCAGCGACTCTCCGGAGGCACTCACAAATAGTCTTTAATACTTACTAGTGGTTTTTTTCCTCTTGCTCTGTGCAGATCCATGAGAGCAGTCCCCTCGATCTGGCCAGCGAGGAGCCCGAGCGGTTGCCGTGTCTCCAGCGGCTGCTTCAGCTGGGGGCCGATGTCAACGCAGCTGACAAAAACGGTCTGTGTGCCCCGTCCGGCTCCCCCAGCCTGGGTGCTCCCAGCAGTCAGCCCTCATGGGTGGGCTAGAGCAGGGCACGGGGTCCAGGTCCTTCAGTCCTGCTGCTGCCAATGCTCTCTGGTTGTAAACTAACTGGTTTGGAAGTTGGGTGCAGGCTGCAGAACCGCCCTGGTGCTCTGTGCTTTCTCCTTGTACCTCGGCTGTGTCAGGTGCAGAAGGGGGCTGAAACCAGCTCTGTGCAGTCCGTGGGAGATGGGAGGGGGCTGTGCCTCCCTAGCCCTGTGGTGCCCACGCACTCTAAACCCCACGCTGCCATGGCACATGTGCCCTCCGGGGTCACCACCAACCCTGCACGTGTGGCCTGTGACCCTGTCCCCACAGCTGTGCACCATCACGGGGACAGCAGGAGCCTGCCAGAAGGGGAAGGGCTGTTTCTCCCTGTGTTTGGCTGGCTGGTTGGTGGGGTGGATGGTTTTTCTTCCTGCCTTTTGGGGTGTCACCCTATTTTCATCTGACTGACCGATTGCTCCATTGCAGGAAAGACAGCGCTGTTGCACGCCCTGGCCAGCAGTGATGGTGTCCAGATCCACAACACCGAGAGCATCCGTCTCTTGTTGGAAGGAGGTGAGGGCAACCTTCTCCCCTCTCCATGCACAATCCCTCCAGGCCTAGCACTGGCTAGTTCTTTGTACAGCACCGGGCACTGCCCTCTCAACTCTTTCATGTTCCCACTTTAGCAAGAGTAAAGTCTAGCAGTGCCATAGTGCTGTCCTGGCCTCGTTGTCTGCAGTGCCAGTTTTTTTAGGTGCAGACGTCAGAGCCACCACCAAAGATGGTGACACTGTCTTCACCTATGTCATCTTCCTGCTGGGAGAGATGGTGTGCAGCAACACTGAGGAGGCACAGGTGATCAATCGCTTCTGCTTTCGTGTCACGCAACTGCTGCTGGCCCATGGCGCCAACCCCAGCGAGTGCCCACCCCCCGAGTCCCTCACCCACCTCTGCTTCAAAAGCTTCAAACGCCATTTCCCACTGCTGCGTTTTTTGCTGGAGTCGGGTGCTGCCTACAACTGCTCCCTCCACGGTCCCTCCTGCTGGTCAGGCTTCCACATCGTCTTTGAGTGCCTCTGCTCACACCTCAGTGTCTCTGAAGATGACAGCTTCTCTACAGACCTCATCCAGAAGGGTCAGACTCTGCTGGAGCTCATGATGGCCAGTTCACAAGCCATCCAGCTGCCCAGCAACTTTGAGATCAACACCAGCAGCTGTAGGTACCACGGGGAGAAGATCAGGACTCTCTTCTGCTCTCTGAAGCAGCTGGAGCGCTCCCCACAGGCACTGAAACATCTCTGCAGGGTGTTTATCCGGCAGCGCCTTAAACCATGGCCAGTAGATGTCAAAATCAAGGCTCTACCTCTTCCAGACAGGCTGAAGTGGTACCTCCTCATTGACCACGCTGCTGCTGGGCACGAGGACCTCTGAGCCTGACTAAGGCCTCTCCGTCTCCCTGCCTCCGCGGTCGTGGTGTGCCTACAGCCACCCAATCTCTGCTCTGGGCCAGTTTCCTCCGCAAGAGGTGGACTGTCCCCGTGCTGTCCACGCGCCCACGGCTTGGCCAGTGCTGCCCACGATGTCAGTGTCTGCTGCGTTTTTGGGGAGTGTGTTTTTTTGAGCAGGATGCTGCACGCACGTCTGTGGAGGCCTTGTTGCTCTGGGGCACGTCATGGGGAGGCGGGCGGAGCCCGTGGCTCCCTGGGGGTGAAGAGACCCCCTGGGCATCGGGGAGTGGATACTGGGGCAGAGGGCTGGTTTGTGTGGATTTTAAGAAAAGGCCTGGCGGGCAGGACCAGTGGGGCGGTTGGGGTGGTGTGACTGGACAGGCAGCCTCTCCCCTCTCTTTCCAGCCCTGCCGGGTCCGGGGTGGGTGAAGCAATGCCTTAGGCGAGCGGCAGTCGTGAGGTGCCTCGGGGTGCTGGGAGAAGTGCCAGGAGAGTGCTGGCACCTGTGTCCTGGTTTCCTGCCTTCGGTCCTGCTGGTGGGAGCAGCCGCGGTGGAGGCGGGTCCAGCATCTCCGCGTGGATGCGGATGCCTTCCTCGCTCACGCAGGCTTCTGAAACCAGGAGCGTGATGGGGGTGAAGGCAAGCGAGGTTGGCAGCGGTGGCCGGCTGCTCGGCACCCTCTGAGTTTCTGCTGGGAGCACCCCATCCTCCCGGCACAGAGGGCCATCCACCAAGGACATCTCAGAGGTGCTGGGCTCCAAAACAAACAGACAAATGGATGTTTCTTGGCTTCGTGGTGTGTTCCCTGTGCAAGGACAAGGAACGGGTGGCTAACTGCCGAGTGCCTTGTGCCTCCCCC